ATAAGTAAGGCTTGAGAACTGTCTACACTCTAGCACGATGCTGACCGGAGGTCAGCTCGTAGTGCCGTTTAAAGTTACGCTACTAGGACGCGCAAGCTTTTGGCCTCGCCGACTTGTCCGATCCAGTGCAGAATTAACCGCTGGGGAGATAAGTTTGGCATTTGGTCACGCAATGGAAGTTCGTCTGTCACGCCGATTGCGGAGCGGTGTTCCCCCCTTTACGCCATAGAACGCGTGTTTATTGCTTGTGTTTGTCGGGATAATTAAAGCATTACTCCCTAGGAACTGCAACATTAACAATATTTATATTTCGCGCAGGACAAATTCTCTTATGATACAAGATAAACGCGTGAATAATCTCCTCAGAATATAAATACGTATTGAATAATTCAAATTTTGTTTACGTGATACAGTATAAAGAACTAACCCTTACAAACTTGAAATATTAATTCTCATTTCTGATTGACAATTGTGAATTTTGTTCTTAGTTCTGAAAATTTGCGGGTAGATCAAGACAATGTCCATAGATCTTAGTTGATTATTTTATGATTGCTAAGAAAGAAATTAGACTTTGATTGGAAAACAGTACAAATAGAGCGCCAAAATACAGTGTTTGGATTAGAATATGATGTCCAAAGAATTTCGTAAAACTCCATTAAAAAGATATTTACAGCCTGGTAACAGTCAAGATCAGACACAACAAAAAGATCCCCTGATCAGCTGTATAAGTTTTGATCCAAAGTGAGCTGTCGCATTTTAGTTTCTTATGATGTTGTTTGTGATTAATAATGCTCGAATCCAAATTCGACGGAAAAGTTTTCAAGGTGAAACAAAACTGTGCGTTTCCAGAATATGCAGTACATCTACGAAACGTGTATGCCTTGAATTATCTCACACCTTGTATCTTTATACTGCGAAAATAATTTGACATACAACACTGTTCTGATTTTTGCGTCATAATTCCAGCCTTTGAAACGGAATTTTGGTAATATTACTATTTTTCTGAAAAGAAAAATCTCCTTGTCCGAATAAGAACTATGCAAAAAATTGATTATGCATGATTTCAAAACTGGAAACAAATTGAAACCGAAATGAAAGTGGTCTGGATAATAGCAGTGATAATGTTAATTTAAAGAAAAAACACGACACTCTTAAATGAATGAATGAAATGAAATTATAGATTTGCAGATGCATGTTGAAACTTCCACCTATTTTCCAATCATTCAAGGAAAAAAAATTGTTTTGTTGGCTTGCAAGGCCTGTCCGCTCAACCATTTTAATTTGAAAATGCAGAAATAAAATTGAAATTAATCTTTGCTTGCTCTTCTCTCATTCTGCGCCCTACAAAGTCAAAACTGAATGTTTTCTCCGAGTGTAATTCCTATGTTTATAGTGCACCTTGGAAAATTCCAAATTCGTCTTATAAAGCTATTTATTCTACCTTTACAGCGAGTAAGTTTGCTTTCGATCCTTTTGCTTGTCTTCTTGGCTTGCCAGGTGGATGATGAGTTGACTGTTGACCAAGGCATCAGTCCTGAGAAAGAAAAACCACTACCTGATTAGATAACGGCATCGTGACAAATAAACAGAACGTAAACACCCTCCTTTGAGCCCGAGTTCACGCTGGTGATGGTTAATTGTTTTGCGTCAGTTTGAGTAGAAATTCAGACAAGTATCTCAAATAATCGCAGTGGAACTGTTAGATAAATCCTACAGAGATCATTTCATTCTGTAAAGGCTTGAGTTATAGTTATTCTTCTAAAAACTCGGCGTTTAGGTTTTTTTATACTGGGATGTGTAGATGACTCCCTTTGAAAAAGAAGGTGTGGATGCAGCTTTTGATTCATGATATTGCAGATAGAGCCCGTCGAACAATACTTCCGTACAGACCGAGACTTCCTAAAATTCCAAAGAAATTTTCGTTTCGCAGTTGAAGAAAGGCAATATTTCATATGACCCGGAACATGTAATAGAAAATACACCAATTTTTTTCAGTGTCCTTATAACACCCTATCTGTATCCAAAATCTAGAGCTAAACGAAAGTTGCGTTTACGATAAACGCAGGAATAAAGAGAACTGATTCTCACTCACCTTTTACTGAAGCCTTCCTAAGATTATATTCCTTGTTTCGTTTCTCCTTCAGCAATAATTCTAAGGAAGAAATCAATTAAAAAAACGACCGGATTAGTTCGCTGTTTAGCTAGCCATAGTTTCACTGTTTATCCAGTAAACATGACAAAATTTACAACATTGACGATTAGACAAATATTTAAGTTCATAGGACGTTAATGTGACAACCAAATCTGCTAATTATGTGTGTGAATATTGCCGGAGTATATAATATTGCTTGTGATGTCAAGAACTTATTTCCACAGTCCCTTTCCCCGTGTGAATGATTCCAAACACGCAATGATATTTTGGCGGCAGCGTTCAAAATTATTTCAAGAACACTTTTTTATCTTGTGCTGCATTAGGATGTAAGTCAGCATGTTTATACAACAGGATTAAGCTCGAGAAAACGATTTATATAGTGAGAACTATACACAACATAACAACATCCTTGAGCTTAATTCAGAACGTCAGTTTAGCAAACATTGCTACTCAATATTTCTACTCCATACTGTCTTGAAATTTAGCGGAAAGTGTCAGAAGATCTTATGAAATGCGAGATGGTGTTTTTTAAGGACAAACTACCCCTCATAACAACAATAACTTTAATAATTACCTTTGTAAGCAGAAGAGAATTCACACATCAACCATGATGGTTGTGGACCGAGTGAACATATGGTTGTGAACCGAACAAAGCTTTTGGTCGAGTTCCCACGCTGCCGAGTTTCGCTGTAAACGTCACGGAAATGAGGTGCTCTAAACAAACTAATTTTGGTTCTCGAACTTGGAAGGGAAGAAGAAACAACAATACAGATATAGAATACGTTGAACTCGCCTGCACAGTCATCTTTTAGCACGTGCAGGTGATGGAAAAACATGAATAATGAGGTGAAATATTTGCAATTCAGATCGGAAAACCGCAGTGAACGCGTTTTCTTCTTTTTTTTTTAAACTTTAATCATGGCTTAACATTTCTTGAAAATCTGCAACAAAATGGCGCTCCGAGACAACTTACAGAGAATTTTGTCGCGTAAGACCTAAGCAAGAGATTATCAGGGTAAGTACCTTGATAATCTCTTGACCTGAGTTTTTCTCTTTTGTTCAAAGAAGGGCGACGTCCGAAATGAAGATAACAGAGGGTCAATTTAATGATGATGTTTCAAATGATGCCTCCTCATTTTCGAAATTATGGACCCGTCTTTGAAACTACATACGTAAGTCTGTACATTTGTTCCTGTGCCATGCAGGTACTGTGTTTTGTCATGGACCGCAAATTATCTTCTTTTTCTCTCCCGCGTGCGTTTCCGTTCGCGTTTTCCCTTTAATTCAAACTGCGCTACCTTTTACATTCTCCAAGAGCTCCCTATGTTTTATTTTCGTAACTTTTCAGTGCCGCATACCCGACCCATCCTCCCCCATTGTGAGTCCCCTCCCTGCATTGCGTAGTTTTCCTGCGTTTTCTCACAGTCTGAGATGAAAACCATGACAACTCATCAAAAATGCATTTGTAACGTTATGGATACAGAGACTTGAGAATGGAATGGAAGTATTAAAATGCTCAGCACGTGGACGTTAAGAAGGATAATTCTTTGTACGTCTACACGAACACTTACCTCCAGTTTCCACGAGGCCATTGCCTCTATCCTGCTTTTCCTCGTCGATTGTAGAGTAAGAGTTTCAGAGCGGAAAAACTTAATAAGCATGCGCAAGTTTTGGCCGCGCGCCAGGCTCCAACTTTGCAAAAAAAAAAATGGCGGGAAAATGGCGGGGAGCCTTGCTTTCTTAACAGTGAAATGCTGCCGGCGGAAAAAAATTCATGCTTGCCCAAGCGACATTCTCGCCCGAGCGACATTCTCGAGGACCTTATTGCAGTCCACCGTTCATTCCACCATTACAACTGGCATTATTACCTGCGCCGATTACCTGAGCCCGCGAGTAGGGTTAGGGATGTACAGAAAGTGGTGCAGAACGTTTTTCCACTCTGAAGAGCAAGAGCACAGTAGTGTTTATTTTTTTTATTTTTAGTGTATAACTTTTGAGGCGGCTAAAACAGTCATTAGCTCCACTAAAATGAAAATCGGATAGAAATGATATTTATAGGTAGTGGTTTTAGCGTTTAAAGTAAGGTTTTAACTGTAAAAGGAAAGAAAACCGGACGAAATTAACACCTCAAATTTATTACGTGTATAATACACATCTCCCGTACACAAAATTTTGTTATGTGAGACTGCAAGAGAGCATGAAGGGTCCCCCATATAGGTCTTATTCCCAACGCAATCACTAGATCACTCCCGGTTTCGGAAATCCCAGGAAGGCTTTGAGAAATGATCAATCAGTGTTTACGAACTGTACACAAGAGTCTTGCAACCAATAACACCAACGCTGACCAATCAGTTTCAAGGACCAGCGACTCATGACTAGCCACAAAGACGTTTTACTCCTCTGGTGTCCGCACAGGTTTTGCAAACGGCGGGTTACGTTACACGAAGAACTGGCTTCGCCCAAGCCATTAACTGAATCATTAACCGGGCTCTTTAACAAACAAGTTTTTTTCGATCAAATCATCTTCATCACCTCTCTTTGTAGACTACGAGTCGTACCTCTTTAGCTGTCCGTCGTGCGTGACGTGAAAGAAAGCACGAGAAAAAAAATGGCCGCGCGAAATCTCGCAGTCTATTCTCTTTGAGTCAAGGGAGAATGTCTGAATTTTAATGAACTGGATTACCTTAATTCATCAAGACAAAAATTGAGTTTTCCACCGCAATATTAACGCATCCACAAAGACAAAAGATCGAAATTAACTAAACTACTGAGAATTCACTCAGTGATAACATGAAATGGAACAATAGTAGAAACCTTGTAGTTTACACATTTACTGCAGACTTCGACATCATATGCCATATATTTCAAACATTTTAATACTCGTCTATATGATAGTATTGTATAATGTAAAACTTACTTTAAATTATCTACAATAAAAATTGTTTAATTATCAAATTCACTCTTCTCTGAAGTAAACATTGTGCACAAATTTTGCTACAGTACTGGCCCCAGTTGTTTAAAGGGTGTATGACGCTATCCACCGGATAAATCAGTATTCAGTGGATAAGTGTAGATTGTTTCACCAATACTTATCAACTGAGCGTTATAACCCTTCGAACATCTGGCCCCTGGTCTACAAATATATTACTAACCCAGTTCTTTTTCCTTTGTTTTTTTGTTGTTGTTGTTGTTGTTGTTGTTGTTTCTTTTAACCAACTGACAGAGATTTCTGTATAAAGAAGGCTCTCAGTTCGTTCACTGACATACGCAACAAGTTCAAAATTCCAAACTTGTCATATTTGTTTCACAAGTAAAAGTCACGTAGTCACGTGATAACGGAGAAAGCAAGTGAATTTACAAGCTAGGCTAACACAATAGGTGAATTTCTGAAAACTTGAAAGTCTGAGCCAAAGTTTACTACATCTACGAACAACATTTTGTTACGAACTGCCTCTTCCAAGTTGTAGTAATTCAATTTAGTCCGCGCCCCGTGACAACCTCTACTTCACATAAACCGGCTTGGTTTAAATACTCACTCCTTGAGCTCTACCTACAGTAAATATATAAGAGCATTTTTGCTGGGAAATATTCACTGTGGGCTTAACTCGACACTAACATATTGACAATTGAAAGTTACTTCAAAATTGTTCAAAGTTGTGATTCTCCACCAATAGAATTCTGAACAAATTGTTAAACTTAAACCATTATTACCCAACACAAAGCAACATAAAGTAGTCCCTAAACGCAACAAAAATAGACTTAACTAACGATTGAAGCCGACTTTTTGTCGGTACAAAACTCATTGTAATGTCTTGTAGTCTAATCCTCTTCCTATATCCCTTCCAAAGTACACTTTTCTTGTACCATGAAAATTCAATGTGGCAAAATCTACTAAAACCCTACAAAAACTTAATTTATGCCTCAGAACTGACTGTAAAACTGGTACTTGCCCCAAAAGATTCTTTGGTAAGGCATTATATTGAAAATTTCAAAATCAAAATTTTAATATCTTAAACTGTATTAATTCAAAACTATAATATTTTTGTTTCAACATTATCAAAGACTGATTCCAGCAGCACTTTTGGAAAACCCATTCGAATAATTCATTTGATTTACATGTTACACAACTAATCTACATAAAAAAAAAAATCGCTACTAAACTGAACTCTGATGGCTAATAGCATAATTGATTCCATCAGAAAACAATTAGATTCAATTTTTGAAAAAATGCTTAATATTCTGAACATTATTTAGGCCATATATGATCGGCCCTATCTTTACTTCTTCTGAAATTAATATAAAATAACTTACAAGTGGATTTCTATATACTGGACAATACTATTACTGGATGTTCTATGAAATAAACTTTGTAAACCGATTGGGATTATTATTATAACAAGGCTGAAAAGGCGGCCAAATAAGAATCTTTGAAAAGGCTGGCCGAGATATTTGAACAGATATCAAAAAGATTTGTTCCCAATCCTCCTAGGACTATACTTAATGGCGAATAAACCCTTAATAATTGTTATAAAATGACATTATTATTGACTTGTTCTGTGGAGGATTACATTACACAGGACCTGGTCAACAGAGGAGTATCTATGCCTTCTTCTGCTGCTGTTGTTTCTCAGCAAAGTGTTGGTAGATAAAATGGACGTACGTGATCAGACTTTTAGGTTCTGGTACCTCAACTGACATGACATCCTCCAACTCCAACAGTGGTTCAATGCCCTCTTCCCTAAAAAGAAAACATGAAGTACAAGTAAGGAAAAACACATTGATAATAACATGATTAAATGTAAATTACTTGAAGTTGGGCTCGAGCAAAAATAATGGCAGTCAGTGGCTTTTCAGTGAGGTCATGCATTGTGGGGTCACATACAGTGCTTTGCAAGTGTTATGTGCTTTGCAATTCCACTGTGTAAGGACATACAGTTGCTGTAAGCTTTCAATCTGGTTGTGGTGTGCTGTTTGAAACTGAAATTTTATTGGCAAATTTTGAACAAGAACCTAAAAAGATACTCTCACATCAATATTCTGACATGCTTTGCAACACCAGTGGGAAATGTTTGTACTTTGTAAGTATCAAATGACAAAACATCGGCAGATTTGTCCTGCATTGTATAAAATTCCTCAACATGAGGAAGATGTTGCTCAGCTGTCTATCACATACAATATAAAAAATACACCATTTTACAGTTGTCTGTTCAGTGACCAGGCCTTGTTTTGATACAGACCTCACTGCTTTTGTTGTGTAAATCAAGTTGCTGCTATGCTAACTAGTTTGCATTTAAATGAGAAAAGCAGAGTGGTCTGTATCAAAGCAAAGTCACCTCCAGCCTCGTTTGCATTCATAGGCCAGGTAACTAAGCACACAGCTGTAAAATGGCCCATCAACAATAGTTAACAAGGAGGCCACATCATGGTTTTCATGCAGATCTTCTTTCCAGTTCCAACTGCAGTTTTTTTCTTTTATGAGGAAAACTGGAGTAACCAAGGAAAAACCCTCAGAACAAGGCTTGAAGCAATAACAAAATTTACCATAATATACACGATGGCATAAAATGGCAGGTCAACTCTAACTTAATTTGGGAATGCTACACAATGACAAAGAATGTAACAAATGCTGGTGGTCAACACTCCGGGTAGAAATGTATTTTGCTTCACCACTGCACAAACCTAGTTTCTGCTCCACTTGGGAGTCCAATGCATTAATAATTTGGCGACACTGATTGCTTGACAATAGTCACACTAAATATACCTGTATGTATCAATTTTTAGTATAAATCTACTAGCATTCTATCATAAATGTCATTGCCTGAGTGGCTACACTACTCACTATCTATTCTGCTGTAGACAGTGTGTAGCCTAGCAGCGTGGGCTTGTTAACAAGCTGGCAGCTGCTTCTTTGCATTTTTCACTTTGATTAACTTGACTGCACCCTTGTCGAATATCATATGAAAGAAATCTTGAGCTCATAATCTAATTGTTTAATGTACATAAGCTCTCTCTCTAGCTGTTCAGGACTAGACGGACTCACCCTGCAACTTTAAAAGCAAGTCCCCAGTTTCCCCTCTTGTCGCTAGGATCTAGAGTGTCATATGGAATCTTCTCAGGCAGGAAGTAATTCAGCAAAGCACACATAGCAAGACCATTGGCCCAGCTGGTTGTAAAGTTTTGAATGTCTACTCCCTGTTAAAGTAGATAAGGGCTAGGTTACAAAAATAGGAATATAGCAGAAAATTAGTGCAGCAACATACGTTAGACCTTACAGGTTTGGTATTAATGACTTGGTAAATTCCCCATGTTGTTTTCAAAGAAATAAATGTAAACACAAATGAAACTTTATTGCAATTTTGCTTTCCATAAGCTGCTTCAAAATTCACATGGTGACCACGTCACAGAGAGAGAGTAGTAATGCGACCTTTGAAACCACATTTACCTCATTGTATAATGTTCACAAGAAAAACAAAGCTGGACTCTTTGCCCAGAGTTTACAACAGAAAAAAAGAGTAAAAGCAGAATTCAGCCATTGTTTGAATGACTGACAGTAGCTTTGGCAACCAGACAGTTCTTTTAGTATTCCTATTAGTAGGAGCTAAAACAAACCTCGTGATATTTGGTCCTTCGACGACACCATTCCTGCAGCTGGTTCACAGCGGTGTTTCCACTTGTGAAATTTCTCCCTCCTCCTTCACTAAAGAAAGTTCTAGGGATGAGTACCATTGTTTGCAGTAGTACTCCTAATGAAAAGCACTCAAAAAATGTTGCCTTAAAAAATTGATGCAGGGCTCAAAAAAAGTGTTGTCTGGTCGTCCGAGACAAGTAGATTCTCCTTCTCGGCAAGTACCAATTCATTATCACTAGCCCAGTGGGCAAGGGATCAGGCAAGTCATCCGGCAACTAAATCATTAAAAGAGCAAAATAGGCTTGCCCAGGTGAGCAAAATTTAAGAGCTACTTGTCCCAAGGGCAAGCTGAAATTCAAGTTTTTTCAAGCCCTGTGCTAATAATCTCTTTGGTTTAATTCCAAAAGAAAGCAGTGACTGACTTCTTAAATACAAATCTACTTACATCCCATAAAGGACAATCTTCTGCTATGCACTTGTTTAGTGATGTCAGACATAATCATTAAATCAAAGACAAGATAATTTAGCGTCACTAAACTGGTCATCTTCTATGCTGTCATTACATGCACATAACACGACATATATCATTTTCTGTACAGCAGAACCCTACCCCACAACCACCCATTACAGCTGATTGGCTGAGATTAATACATTGGCATGGTGATGTTATCCGACTGTGATTGAGTTCTGTTTAGAAAAACAACATGACGGCCCACAGAGATGAAGTGTCCAGACCCACTTTTGCCAAAATTTCAGAATGTTTTAATTCCCTTTGAATTTGAAGCTCAAGAAATGCAATGCGGTGACCTCGAAAGAAACAAAGTTGTTGCTGCCTTACCCACAGGGCTTGGGAAAAATTTAATTTTCCAATTCTTTGATATTGCGGCTGAAATAAAAATCCGCATTAGTTGTCTGACCTTTACAGAGCATTATCCATGACCACATTTCAGAGGTCAGAAACATGGGTCTTTCAGCTGCATCAACTGCTGATTTAACGTAGGAGGAGTTGAAGTCAGCTCGCAGGCTAGCTGAATGTACAGTATGTTATTACATGCAGGAACAAGGGGAATTGTACACAAGGTTCCCAGTGAGAACAACTGAACCAATTTGTTTCAGAAAACAATAATTTCTTGAACATACACTTTTGGGGATTGAGCCTCCAGCTGCTGTTTGAAAGCCATTCTCTTGTTTTTTGTGTCTGCCTGTAGCTGTTTCTTGGCCATCATTTTCTCTTTCTTCTTCTGGGCAAACAGAGCATCAATTGACATTCCTAAGAAATTGCAACAAAAATAAAACCCGCACGCTAAACCAGCAGCACAAAAAAATATGAAAAGTTACATGGATCTGTTAATAACGAAAGTTTTGGTGTGAGCAGCTGCATACTCTTGAAAATAAATAAACACTTATTGATGAATTGGGAATGTTTAAAAGTTTTGCATTTCCATAACATTTTGTCACTGAAACACAATGACTATGTGCATGGCAGAACTTGATTCAAAGAAATGGAGCCAGAAAAACCATTATGCCACTTTAAACTAATGGTTGATCTTGCATCTTGTAAAATTATCCTGGAATAGGTCAATTTGAGTCATTGAGGAGATCTAAAGATATTAATTACTTTATGAAAAAGTTTCATAATATTTAGAGCTGAATTTTTACCAGAATCTATAAAGTGAAGACTTGCCATGAACACTTGCCATTTTTTAGTACATTTTTCTTCCAATAGAACTAGTAGTAATCAAAGGATTAGAGCAGTGCGTTCACATGTTTACTTTACGTATACATGATTTTTTACTATAAAATAAAGGCTCTTCATATAATGAATAATATTAGCATTTTCACACTGTAAAAACACAAAATAATATTCTTGTGTAAATGAAGAGCCTACATTTTATGGTCACTTTAAAAATGAACCAAGAAATATCAAGTGTTCACAGTTCAAGTCTCCTCACAGTAACAAATTTTAAACTAAACCTGTCCTAGTCCATGCAGAAGTACATGTAGTAGCAACACTACTCTTTGGCTAATAAAAAGAAAGTTGAGTTACATACTATACATGTACAATCTACATACAAGGTACACCTGACTGGGAACCCTATGAGGGCTCCTCTGACCCTTAAGATTGGAAAAGACTTCACCTCTATCTAAATTCTCAAAATTCAATGTTCAATATTTCACAGATCTAATACTTACATAATAACAGGAAAATGCTGGATGTATACAATCATATTATGATATCACTGAACTGGAGAGTTACAGCAAGAGTATGATAACCTATTTCTGTTGTTAACTTACATGTAGTACAGGGTTTTCAGTATGATTTTGAGTTTTATAAGAGAAATCTTTGAGAAAAGCAGGTCGGAATTAATGTAGTATCAAAGTTTTGGCAAACTTAGATAGTAGAACATAACGTATTAAGTGGTTTGAGCACTATCCATGCCACTCATGTCATTTTGCTAAGAATTTTTTTGTTTCCACTTTTCAGTATTTGGTATTTTTTTCTAATTTTGACTTACTTTTTTCTGTCAATATTTGAAAAGTTTCTACGGTCCAATTAATAATATAGGGTGATATTTCAAATGAAGTCTTATAGCAAGACCAAATCACCAGCAAGGATGTCCTAAGACAGAATTATCATAAAGATTTCCATTTTCTTACCAGGAGCAGCAGAACTGTTCAAAAATTCTGCTTGAAGTTTGTCTGAGTGCCAGAACAAGTGACAGAAAACTTGCCACACTATTCTAGATCTTTACAAAAACACAATAACCCTTTCGACAGAACAGAATATAGAACCTGCACCTGTTATTGTGGAAAGTGAATATATTTAAGATGCATAAGAAATTTAGTTTAGTGGTACACAGTACAATATTGACAAAGGATGCTAAAAGCTTATTGCAATTATGTAAGCTTGTGGGAGAGCTCTGAACAAAAACAGCCATTAATTATTAAAAAATGTCACTAACATAAGGTGAAAAGGAACTGATAATAACCAAACAGTTATATTATCACCTGCTCTTTGAGTGCATGCATGAAATATAGCATTCTCTCTTAAAGTGGAAAGCTGATTTCTAATAAATCACAAACCATAGTGCACTGTATAACATGCAAGTGAAAAAATAAGTCACTGTAAAATTCTTAAAAACGAATGGTGCAGTTCACACCTCAACAGTAATGAATTTGTTTGTGGCTCCAAATTAATAAACTTACCACTGTACAGACTCCATATTAAATATTAAATATAGTTATGATAAATTTTGTCCTGACCGCTATCAGGCTGTAACACAATCACCAGGTAGCATTGAAAGAACCCAAAACAATTAGTGACGGGTCAAGATAAGATGAGACGTTACACTCTAAAAGCAGCTTTTAATTTACAGTGCAAGCACTTAAGGTTACAGTATACCTTCGGGTCGGCAATTTTTTTCAAATTTGGATTTTTGGGTCAAAATAGTGGTCGAAGAATAATCTCTAATTTCTGAAA